ACAACTCTCTCTAGACAAAAAAAAAAAAAAAAAAGATCATGGCTCCTTCAATTCAACTTGTTATTCCAAGAAGCATACTGATAAAAGAATCATGCATCATACTTTTCCCCAATGCATTTAAAAGTTTTATTACTTCATATACTCCTTTTAATACTCTAGTGAGACAGTATAGGAGTTTTTACAAAGAAAGTGGGTTGACTTGATCAAGTTCACAAAACAAAATCAAATGAGAAATCATAACCCTAATTTTCCTGTATCCCAGTCATGATAGCAGCTCACATCAAATACACTTTACATACAACACGGTTAAAGTGGTTGCCCAGAAACTGCAGTTTCCTCTGTTGTGGATGCAAACCTTCAGGGAAATTTGAAAAAGATTGACTGCCAAGCGTAGTTAGATTTCGTTGAACCTGGCTGAGAATGACTCTGAGAATGACTCTGAGAACCAAGTGAACCACTGAATTGTCTGCCTTCTCTCATACTGCAAGATCGATACAAAAAGACCAGCTTGGTATTTTTTTCTCTTACGGCCATCAGCAACCTCTGAGTTTCTGCATTCAAATCACTCATTCGAATCCTGAAGAAATATAGAGGGAGAATTCTGTTAATACTACATGTTATATTTCACCTTTGTCCCATCAATGACTAATTCCCCATATGTCATCCCTTGGGCATTCTTGGGAGTGTCTATCTTGCCACCTCGAAGGAAAGAGGGAAATCTGCTCTCGACTAAATACCCTAAGACAGAGATTTCTCCATTAAGCATTGGAACATAAGGTGAGAATTCCACTGGGAGAACTGTTTGAAGTTAATATTAGTAGTAATGACTGCTAATGTGTACTCCATACTTTGTAGGCATATATCATCACATCCTCACAAGAGATGAAGTCATGAATGATTTTATGGATTCCAACACTTGGGATCAGAGTTTTCAACTAAGATCTGTTTATATAGCTGGAGAACAGAGGCACATTTACGCCAGAGACCGTGCTTAAAACATTTGATACAATTTCTTCAAATTAAGGAGGGAGATTCACAGTCACTTTTATTTATCTTGTGCCCTCTCTATATGTGAGTGTCCTAATTTGCATGTAGGCACAAATACCTCTATAACCTGAAATATGTTCATTTTTTTCAATTTACTTTCATTAAGCACCTACAACATTGAAGGGAATAATATCCCTGCCACTATGGAGCTTATTTTCTAGCAGAAGGAGTTGGACAATAGACAGAATAAATATGTTATATGGTACATTAGAAGATAAGAGCCCTGCAGGCAAATAAAGAGAATAAGGGATTTGGAAAGCTCAAAATGTTTGAATGGGTTTTCTACACATCTAAAAGTTTAACTCAATATCTGTATTTATTATAAAGTGTCATTTGGAGAGCACAAGGGAAAATGAGCTCATACAAGGGTCCCAAGCACATTGAATCTATGTTCTGAATTAATCTTTAAGAGTTCTGAGATGAATATTCCCATTTTCCATTTGAGAAAATTGAAGGCAAGTGGAAAATGAGCTGCCCTGCCTGTACTTGATCAATGGGTAAATCCTAGACGTGTATACTTTGTCTCTAATTGAGCGCTCAGTAACCTGAATATTGCTTTCCTTTAAGAAAATAAAGCAATGCTAGATATTGCCAGAATTTTCTGAGTATGTGGACAAAGTGTGACTGGAAATTGTGGTAGACAGCTCCTAAGATGGCTTCCAAAGATCCTCACCATGTGTCAGTCACACCCTTGAATAATTCTCTCCTTGGGTATAGGTGGGACCTGTGATTTTCTTCTAGCCAATGGGCAAAAATGAAATGTCACTTCCTCGAGGAGTTTATATAAAATTGTTACTTCTGTCTCGCTAACAAACTCACTCTATTGCCTTGCAAAATTTGATGAAGAAGGGTCCACATGGCCAGGAACTGAGGGTCTCTTCTAGCCAATAGCCATCTAGATCCATCACTAAGATCCTCAGCCCAACAGCCCTACAGGAGCTGAATTCTGCCAACAACCACGTGATCATAGAAGCAGATTTCTTCCTTCCAGTTGAACCTTTGGGTATGACCCCAGCCCTAGGTGCAGCGTTGTAAGAGATCCTGAGGAAGATGACCAACTAAGCCATAACTGGACTCCTGAGACTCACATAGGGTATGAAATAATAAATATGTGTGTTAAGTCCTAAGTTTGTGCTGACTTGTTATGTAGCAATAGTTAGCAGAAAGGAAGAGAATCCTTACTTTATGAGAAGGAATTTAATGGGTTTGGAACGATGAGATGGCAGACTGAGAATTAGCCATTTTCTTCCTCTAGTAATGAAGGACACAACCAAGCAGGGGAAAGGAAGAAAATGGAAAATATTTAAAGATATGGAAAATAATGTTCCTAAAGGTCTAATAAGTAATGCTAATTGTGACCTTTTACTCACTATTGAGTGCATACTTTTGCTTTAAGAACTCAACATATATTCTCAATCTCCCAACAGGAAAGGGTATCCTTTTTGGGACTTTTTTTTTTTCTTTTTTTTTTTTGGTATTTGAAACTGGCAATGCATTTATCATCATCTCATATGCCTTAGATTATCTCAATACAGACTTGTCCCCATCACCAAGGAAAACAGCATCCAACTTACCCAAATGCCTCAAGTACACACTCTGGGTGTCCCAAGCCCTCAACAAGTTTTCTAGCTCCTTCATTACCCAAATTATTTTCAGACAGATTGAGTGTTTTCAGTGTTTTGCTGCTGATGAGAACAGAGGTGAGAGACTGACAGCAGGCACTGGTTAACTCGCACCCTTCTAGCCTGTAACAAGGAAACGCACAGGTGAAATGGGACCCAATCCTTGGGGAGAAATGGCAGGCAGTTAGATGGGCATGAGCTAGATGTTTACCAAATACCTCCCTTCACAAGTTCTGGACAAAAGAGCGGCATTTCAAACAACAGACCATTATGCCTGAGTTTTTATTTCCCAATCCAGATTCTTTCCTACCTATCTTTTCTTCCACTTTTCCTAACTCCAAATAGGGAACTTTCTCCACCAGGTACCTACCCAAGAGTTTCCAGCTTGCAGTTTGGATGTTTCAAAGCATAACACAGCAGCTCCACTCCTGCATCCTGTATCTTATTATATGCAAGCTCAAGCCTCCTCAGGTGCAGATTATAATAAATAAGAGCTGCTGCAATATATAGGCAGACATCGCTGGTAAAAAAACAGCCAGACAGCCTGCAAAAAACAAACGTAAGCTAGAGTCATGACCACCTGTCTCGAAAGTTTTATATCATGAAGTACTAAGTGTTCTTCGACCCATCTCATGACATTTATGAAGAAGGGACTCATTAATGAGACAAGAGCAGTGTTAACAGCTATAGAACACTTACAACATACCAGGCATCATTCAAAGATCTTAATGCATATTAACTCACACAATGGTCACAAGGCTCGCATCATCCTGATTTTACAAACAAAAAAACTGAAGCCAGAATGTTTTAAGCATTTTTACCCCAGGAGGTAGATAACTAGAAGTCATATTCCTATATCTTTGTGATACTGAACTTGGGTTCTGAAGAATTATTTTGGGCAACCTCTTCTGACATTCATTCTGCTACCTTGTAGTACTCATGTCAAAGACCAATGTTACTGAGGAGAGCTAAATTTACTGTTTTTATGATAAAAGTAATTATGCCATGTGATCCTTCTTCTCATTTAAAGTAGGCAAAGTCCTGGCAACTGCCCACATTCTCCCAGGAGATCCACTATCTTGTTTTCCCCACTCACATTTCCCATGTCTAATTCTATAGTTCGACTTCACTGCCTCACCACGGTGGCGTGGTAGGCTGTATCTGTGCCTAAGCCCTTGCACAGGCTATTTGTTCTGCTTGAAAGCCCCACTCTGATGATCTGCATGACTCAGTTTCTACCCTCCTCCAAGTCTTTGCTCAAATGTCCCCTTGTCAATGAGGTTACCTTGACTAACCTTGCTTAGAGAGGGGAAAATCACCATCAGTGCTCCTGATCTATTTTAAACTGAAAAAAAAAATTCCATAGCACTTTTTGTTGTCTGATGCAGGGGTTGACAAAGTTTTTCTGTAATAGGCCAGATAATAAACATTTTAGGCTTTAGGGGCCACACAGCCTCTGTCACAACTACTCAACTTTTTTTCATAACACAAAAGTGTTCATAGACACCCTATAAGTGGCTGTGTTCCAATAAAACTTTATTTATAAAAACAAGCAGAGGGTCAGATTTGGCCCCTGGATGATAGCTTGCTGACCTCTTGTCTAATAATGCATAACTTACTTACGTCTTATTTTCTATCTCCCCCAGTGCCAATGCAAGATCCTTAAGACATGGATATTTGTTTTGTGCATTTTGTTTTGTCCCAGACACCTAGAAGAGTGCCTGACATTTAGTGCACATTTGGTAATAATTTGAATAATTAGATATGGAAGCAGATTCTAGAAAAATCCCAGGTTTATTCTTTATTTAGTAGTTATCGGGTATTAACAATGCCAATTATATCCTGTTTTCAAGCTTAGAGGGAAAAGAAGTAGGACAAACACAGTGTTTTATATGTCCTTCGGGGGCTTATAGAAGAGGTTCCTGCCCAGGTTTCGGGAAGGCAAGAGGCAGAATGGACAGTCCTACTTAAGTATATTCTTGAGTGATGAGAGAAGCAGCATGTTTAGAGTCTACAGCAAGATTCAAACTATAGCCTGAGCACCAAATCCCAACAACCCTATGCTTTGTAAATGAAGTTTTGTTGGGACACAGCCACACCCATTTGTTGACATAGTTGTTCATGGCTGCTCTTGAGCTATGGCAGAGTAGAATAGTTGTGACGGGGACCTATGGCCCGTGAAGCCCAAGACATTTACCATCTCGCCCTTTACAGAGAAAGCCTGCTGACCCCTGTTCTAAACCATTGTGTCTATTTTTCTCAACCTCCTGGGCACAAACTAAGGGCCAAGAAAACAAAAAGGCTTATTTCATTTTCCCAAAGGCAGCTTCCTATAAACCACCATGCCCAAGGAAGCAAGATCCTGGAAGGAAAGGATATTCCCAGAATTTCCTGTTTTCCCTCTGACCTGCCTATTCCCAAATCAAAGTAAATGGAAACATGGGTTTATGTTATAACTACAAGGCAGAAAGAAATTTGAAATAAAAAGTCAGATACGGAGGGCAGACGGGATCCGGCGTGGTCAGGGCAACATACGTAACCTAAATATTATCTGTACCCCCATAATATGCTGAAATAAAAGAAAAAGAAAAAAAAACAAAAAAATAAAATCCTTGTTGGATAATTCCAACATCTGATTCATCTTGGAAAAAAAAAAAAAGTCAGATACGGTAGTGTTGATTATATTCTTATATAGTCTATTAGCACATCAGTTCAGCAGCTCACAAGCCGGAGTGTTGTTATTTTATAAACAGGAGATAATTTTATGGTCTCAGTTTCTCACATTTCTGAGCCAAAAAAAGACATTTGAGATAGAACATTTAAAAAGAAAAAAAAGACTTCACATTCGACAACTTCAAAGGATAAAAAAAAAAATTCAGACAAGTGATAGCTCATCACCTGAGAAAATATGAGAAAGTTGATTATTTAATATCACTGAGGAGAGACACTCAGAAGGCTATAGAAGGTTATTATTTATTTCTTCCTGGAAGCTTGGTCCGAGGCCATTGGATCATGACTAAGTCAGCTTATCAGAGAAGCACGTCTTTGGCCCATAGTCATGGCCTAGATACAGCAACCTCCCCCCATGTGCAACCAACACGCCCCTTTTCCGATAAAGCTATTTCCCAACAAAGATGTCCCTGTGATTGCCTACCCCAAAAGATGTTCCCTTCCCCATAAATATGTAAGCCAGGTCGGGGCTGAATCTTTAGGCCCCTTCCTCCGCAGCCCTTCTACACGGTATGTCCAGCTGCACCTGACCCAGGCACCACTTTTCATGGTGAAGGTCTCAGGGATTTTGTAGACCCTGATCCTTCTCAGCTAGGAGATATTGCCAACAAATCTTACTGTGCTTTTATGCTACCTGTTGTCTGGAACACGTGTTCTCACACCCCTTATCACCCATGATACCATCGCTAAAGTCTTATTTCTGTCGCCAACTTCACCACTCAAACCCTCACACGGCAGGGATTCCATCGTCCAATAGACCCATGGAGAGACTTACTCTATCTCCTGTAATCGACATTCTGGCAACGACAGGGGAAAAGTCAAAGCCAATACTCCACGGTTCTGTAAGTAATTCACACACAGGTCTAGATGTTTTAGAGTTTTGCTGAGTATTAGGAGTTTCGTGATGTAGACGGAACAACGTTCAGTGAGACAGCAGTGGAATAACCTGTGTGGGGCCACAAACAGAAGGAGTGAGTTAGTGATACAGCGACCCCTGGAAAAGGCTCAGATGCCATCACCCACCCCGAATCCATAAGTGCCTCCACGCCTTCTGCTGCCACAGCCCAACACATCTCTCCCTATGACGTTCTTACTGGAAAAAGGAGATACGAACTACCCAAGACAGTACAGAGGGTAAAATACCAGAATGGATAATATGGAGCAGGGCATGAGAAAAACTATCAAACTCCCACTAACTGGATCATCTTACACAAGTTATTTCTGTAACTTGGTTTCCTCATAGTTTGTTAAAGTGTATTTTTTTGTTAAACTTAACTAAAATTCTTTTCAGTTTAAAAATTGTGATTCTAAAAGAGCTACCTTGCTGCTTACAAGGGCATATGGGAACTGTTGAAAATTTTGTAAAAAGTAAAGGCAGGACGCACACCTGAAGCCCTTGGGCTCTGGAACTGTAAACCCATGTGGTGGTGTCAGGTTTTCATATTCAGAGTTAATTTTCTGCCAATATTTGAAAGTTTACTCAATTCCAATCTGGATTTCCAGCTTCTCTATTTTAAGAAGTTGGAAATGAACACACTGAATTGTGGTTTCCACTGTGGGGGAGAAGGTAGACTGGACCAGGGGTTGTAATATCAGCTCCTGCTCTTATGTAGTCGGCTGCCATGGCCCAGGTGCTGCACTTGGAATCTCCTTCCCACATATGTAACTCTCTCTCCAAAGCCTTAAGTTTGCTAATGTTGTGACCCCCGTTCTCCAGACTGGGAAATACAAGTGTGTGTGTGTGTGTGTGTGTGTGTGTGTGTGTGTGTGTGTGTGTGTCTGGGGGACACCTAAATACATTTTTGCCAACATCATGCTGCAAATTAGTTGTTAATCCAGAATATTAGGCCAGGTGCGGTGGCTCACACCTGTAATCTTGGCACTCTGGGAGGCCAAGGCAGGAGGATCACTTGAGGTCAGGAGTTCGAGACCAGCCTGAGCAAGAGTGAGACCCGGTCTTTACTAAAAAAATAGGAAAAATTAGCCAGGTGTGGTAGCGTGCACCTGTAGTCCCAGCTACTAGGGAGGCTAAGGCAGGAGGATCGCTTGAGCCCAGGAGTTTGAGGTTGTTGTGAGCTAGGCTGACACTGCAGCACTCTAATGAGACTCTGTCTTAAAAAAAAAAATCCCAGAATATTAATTCAGACCTGTCCAACTCCAAATATTAATGCCATACTTTCAGCTGCTGTGCTCTATTGCACTTTTCTTCTCCGTTGTTCTTCAACCACATGCCTAACATTCAAATCCAGGTCCAAACTCCTACGTGGTGGGCTTGTCTAAGTCAACTTACGTCAGTGACTCAAGAACACAATCTGGGTGGAGCACAGCTTCACACAGTGTTTTCACCCCATTGTTCCCCACGGGATTTTCGGATAAGGTCAACTTTTTCAGCTGCCTGCTGCTGATGAGAATCGATGAGATTTCTGCACATGCACTGGCTGGCAAATTACAGTTCACGAAGCTGTAAGAGGAACTCAGATGAAATAAAGGTCTCTCAGTTTTCTAAGCCATGCCTCTTTTAAATAAAATTGGCCCCAACCAAGTGCGATGACATTTACTAAGAATAGGAAATAAACGGATCCCTCTGCTTCTACTCTTACCCTACACCAGTTCTCAGAGTTCAAATTTGGGTGCAGGTGCCGATTCGAGACACGCGGTGAGCAGGCAGTTCTTCATCCTTCTGCATCCATCTCCACGTGCTCCCCAGCGGCATGTTTCAGAACTGTGAGGTAGCAGGCCACCTACATGACCATGTGATGTGTGTGTGCCACCCACGTGCACAACCTGGTCAAGACCCTCAATTTTCCATCATATTTGCAGTGCCCTCTGATGGTTTTCCACATCGTCTATGATGCCCTGCATGATCTGGCTCTCAATGACCCTCTGATTTTATCTTCTAAACTTCTACTCATTGCTCACTCTGTCCCATCCACCCTGATCTCCTCGCTCTCCCTCAAGTCCACCAGGCACATTCTTGCTATAGTGGCTCTGCTTTGACCTTCGTCTCTACTTGGTGATCTTTCCCCAGATAGTTTTGTGGTTGGCCGTCTCCCTTCCTTCAGCTTGTCATTCAACATTCACGTCTTTAATGAGGTCTTTGCTAACTATCATTCAATCAACTAATAAATATCATCTGCCATATTTTAGGCATTGTGCTAGGCTCCTGGGATATAGCAGAGAACTAGAAAAAAAATGATGGGATTCTAGCAGTGCAAAGAAAGGACCAAATATGCAATGCACCTAGCAGATGATCAGTTCCATCTAAGAAATAATAGAGTGAAGTGGAGAGAAAGGAAAGGCGGTATTTTACTTCTGTGGGGAGCAGTCAGTGAGAGAAGTTCTAGCTAATAAGGTGGTATTGGAGCAGAAACCTGAGAAACAGAAGGGCAAGCCCTGAATCTCTATGGGGAGAGAATTTCTGGCAGAAGAAAAGGGTCCGATGCAGGAGCAGGGCTGGTGTTTCAAAGACCTGCAACAAGTACAGTACGGCTGCAGCATGGTATGTGAGTAGATGTGCAAAAGACAGGTCAGAGGGTTGACCAGAACCACACACGGTGAAATGATGTATGTTATTTGGGATAAAAGTGGAAGCCACTGAGGATTTGAAGATTAAGGGACAGAAGAGGTGCAAGATCTCCCTGGAATTAAGAACTAAATGGAAGTTGCTCTTCTACACTCTTTTCCACGTAACAGGTGAAGGTACGAACAGGGAGAACAGGTAGGAAGATGCTGAAATAGCTCAGGGGAGAGGTGGTGGCTTGGTTACCATGCTTAGAAGCAGAGGAAGCAGGAAGTAGTCAGATCCATTCCAATGATATACCTGACTAATTTGTCTAAGCCAAGTCACTTGAAAATCTGTATTTAAAATGCCTATTAAATATCAAAATAGATACATTTAGAAGTTCATTGAGTCTGAAACCAGAAGAAATGTACGTTTGTAAATATATGTCTCAGAGTCTTCAGTGTATAGAGGCTACTTAACGTCATGCATGAGAACTCAGATTTGTCGAGAACCACTTGGAAACATCCAGGATATTAGCATTCAGGAAGGTAAGAAATAAATAAAAGAGATGGAGAAGGAGCAACTGAAGTTTGGGGAAGACCAAAGGCCAAATGAACAATGTTTCAAAATGGAAGGGGATAGGTGGGGTTAGGGGAGGGGCTGATCACAGAGTGACAGCAGAGTTGGGATTTTGCCAGGTTAATGTGAAGACAAGAAAGGATCCTGAGTGAGAGGATATAAGGCAATGACTACAAAGGACCACGGAATTCAAATTGTGTGAGAAGGAAAGGGAAGGATCAGGGAGGAAAAAGACAATGGGAAGTTGCTGGTCGAATGGCTGAAGGACCCAGTAGGATTTAAGGGTGGGGGAATTTGCTTGCAAGACAGAGTGGCTTGAGAGGACAGGAGGTGCTGTTGGAGCATGAGGTGCTTGACATTGCGAGCATAGGTGAAATGCAGTTATCGGAGACAAGGTCTAGAGCTGTGCTGTGCAGCACTGGAGTCACTAGCAAACCTAGCTATTGAGCACTTAAAGTATGGTTAGCATGATGGGGGCACAGGATTCTTAATTAAATTTTCATTCGTTTAAATTTAAAATACAAGTTAATTCTCAATTTAGTTATTGGAAAACAGTATTTAAGAATGCCTTGGATATGTGAGTCAATCTTTTTCAATTGTAAATTTTATGAAGTGAAAATGGAGGTCAAATGTTTCCAGTGAAAATTTACCATCAGAATGGTGATGTTCTGCAAGTATAAAATACATACTGGACTTTGAAGTCTTCATCCAGAAAAGGAATGTAAAATCCCATTAATCATTTTTTAATATTATGTATCGATATCATTTTATATGTTGGGTTAAGGTTTTATTTTTAAAAAGTTTCACCTGCTTCCTTTTACTTTCTAAATGTGGCCCCTAGAAAATGTAAAACTACTCTTGTGGCTCACATAGCATTTCCATCTGACCATGTTTCTTTAGGGTTTGACCAGGATGGCTTGTCGCTGAGAATGAGCAGAAGAACTAGATCATTAGAGAAATTAAGTCCTGGGAGTGAGAAGACAAGTTATAGAAAAGATCAATCAAAATGACTTGGGCAGTGCAAAGGTGAATATGTGACCAAAGCGTTTGTACCCCCATAGTATTCCGAAGTAAAATAAATAAATAGGAATATTGTTGGTTACAGAGAAATACATCCTGTGCTGAGAATCTTCAAGGAATGAATGGCATCAAGGATAGGTAACAGGTGGTATTGTCTGAAGAGCGCCTCTACACACCAACACCTGGCCATCCCCAGCACGCACATTGAATATCCGGCCGAGCAACGACTCACCTCAGGTGCTGTATGCTGCACGTTGGACCACTCAAGATCTCACGCAGAAGGGAAAACACGTTTAGGGAAACGGGCATGCAACTCAGGTTCAGTAAGGTCAGGTTCCTGTTACGAACCATAGATCTGAACAAGTTGTCAAATTCAGTACCAGCTGAGAAATATGTCAACCTGCAGAAGATAAAATGGTAGGAAATGTCCAGCGAAGGTTGCATACAGTATGAGCATCTCTGCAATCATTCCTGCCTGCCCTATTTCATTCTAGAACAGATTCTGAGTGTTGATCATTTCCTCACATGCTGTTCTCAGTCGTAGGTGCCTAGTGAGGTCAGGGAATTTCCACTCATCCCGAGGTCAGGCCAGGTTGTTGACTTTGAAATCACCCTCTGGGGTCTTTACGATGCGTTTACCACCTTGACCTTCCTCAAGGCAGGACCTGTGAGTGGGCCATTAAGAAAATACACACGCCCATATGCAAAATTAGCCATGCTTTTCTATATTATGAGAGCAAAGGCCATAATATGTTGATGGGCCATATGTCCCCAGGATCTAGCACACATTAACAATTCACCATTTCATTGGGGGAAAACACAGTGGGCCCACAGTGGGTCCCTGAGTGAACCACCACCACTGCTCTCCCCCAACCCAGAAGGATTTTTTCATGATTCGCTTCAAAGTAGAAACAAAATATCAGGGCAACAAAATGGTCACTGTCTCTTTATGGGCCATCTGGAGAGAAGAGAAGAGTTAGGAACCTACAACTCAAAGTTAAACAAGAGAAATGTGAAAAGGGCCGGGAAATTGGCCAACCCCCAGAGAAATGACTCAGGATTGAGAATTCTATGACAAACTCAAATATAGGACATATGGGAAGTCCTTTTAACTTAATTCCCAGCCTATCGGTGAGTTGGCAGGAGGCTGGATGTGTCTTGCTTGCTGCTGTCAGTATTTCCAGATTGCTTTGCCCAGTGATCTCTTGGTCCCCATTTTACCCAAATGACTTCCCTCCTTTTTTGCTCCCTATTGCAATGAAACTACTCAAAAGTCTTCATTCCCCTCTCACCACTGTCTTTTTCAACCAGGCTTTACCTGTGCTCCCCTTCTAAAACCGTTCTTGGTCACCAGTGCCCTCCGCCTACTGATGTTACTGGTCAGGGCTCAGTCTTTACTCTCTTTGGTTGACCACCACCCTCCACCACAGTTGCTCTTTCCTTTGTTAATAAGGAAACTTCTCCCTTGGCTTCAGGGATGCCATGCTCCTCACTTTTCCTCACAGCGTCATGACCAGTCAAACCCCTTTTCTGGTTCCTGCTTTTCTGCCCAGACACTTCACCTTGGGGAACTCTGGAAACCAGTCCTTGAATCGTTTTCCTTCCTGAGCAACATTTCTACCTTGGTGAACCCATTAGTCCTTGGCTTTAAATTTATATACTATATATATACATATATATATATAGAGATAACATTCAAATTTTACCTTCAATTCAGGAACATCCCACACTGTTATTTGGATGTTTAATAGACATCTCAACTTTATTTCAAACAACTTTAGACTGACCTACCCCAAACTCTTGCTTCGGTCATATATCCTCCCATCTCAGTGGTAACTCTAACCTGGCAGTTTTTCAAACCAAAGATATTGGGAGAAGTCAACTCTTCCATTATATTCTACATTCAGTCAAGGAAGTGTCCTTTGCTGACATACAGTCCGAAGCTGGCACCTCACCAACTCGCATTGCTCACACCCTCATCAGATGCACCATTCATTCTCACCTGGAGGACGTTAACTGCCTCCTCTGAGCTCCCTGAGTCCACCTTGGCTTTTGGATCTGCTAGTCTTAATGTAATATATAGAATGGGTCTCTTAAAATGCATATTCTGACATCTCTGCTCAAAAGCTCTCAAAACTCCTCACCTCACTCCAGAAAATCCAGTCCTGATGCTTTTTACGAGGCCTGTGATCTTGACATACATTACTATGAGCTGTTTTCCTAACACACCCCTCCCCCCACTGCCCTAACCACAGGAATCTGTGAATATCTCTGAATACACCAAGCTTCAGTTCCATGGACCCCTCTCCCAGGGGATGACCAGTAGTTGTTTATTGGCTCATTTCTTTACCTCACTCAAGTCTGTTCAGAACTCACTCCAACCTACACCCACAACCGCCACTCTTCTTTTGGATAACTCTAGTTTTTACTATTTCTCACTGCTTCCAAAAACAGAGACTACTTTCTCAGTCTCCCTTTGCAGTTATATAAAGCTGTGTGACAAGATTAACAGGTCAATGAGATGCGAGCAGAGTGACACAAGAAAGAGTTCTACAAAGTCTCCATCAAGAAAGCTCCTGTGGCTCAGAGTGAACCTTTCCCTCCCCTTCTCCCCCTGTGGCTTCCTGCCTTGAGGCAGCCATGATGGCTGGGGCTTCAATAGTCACTGTGGCCCAAGATCTTCTTCATCACAGACATACTAAAGATGGCTGAGGGGATGTGCAGAAGGGGCCTGGGCCCTGATGAATCTGACCCGAAAGTATGTCTTCCATAGGCTTTCTACCTCCAGACCTTTCATGGAAGTAGAAAAATAAGCCTTATGTGCTTAAACTGCTCTTAGAGGAAGAGGGAAGGATGTCTGTTATCTATGGTTGAACATAATCCAAAGTGATGTAGATTCTTTTCACCTGGACAACTTGTGAGTCATCATTATCTGAATCAATTATCCTTTTTCTGAAAATAATACCAGGGACTTCAGGGTCTCCCCACTCCTACCCCAAACCCCCTCACTTCATTAGGTATATTCCCTAGTATTACTAGTTCTAGTTTTACTATTTATCACATGGAATAATCATTTTCTTGTGTATTGTCTTCCCCCAGAGAAGGAAAAGGAGATTATGGTTATTTTGGGGGGAACCGCTAAGGGAGAGATTGATATAATACCTGAGTGTTTGAAGTTGACAGTTAGGATGTCCCAGGGCTTTAGACAGAAGTTTTTCTGAAATACTGTCAATGACACTGCCACAAATTTCCAGCTCCCGGAGGTTCTCCTTAGTGTGAAGTAGACAGCAGATCTCGCTCCAATAGTCAAGGCTCTTCGTTTGACTACATAGAAGAAACACGGGTTCTCTAGTGGAATCAATTCGACTCCAGCAATTTGAAAAACGATACACACACACGTGTGTGTGTGTGTGTGTGTGTGTGTGTGTGTATACATATATATACATATAGATATCTTTTGAGAGTACCTATTACCTGACTCAGACTTATACCAGGCAGGAAGAAATAAAGTCTGGTCAAGTATCAAAAACAACACCCAGACCCACAAAGTTAATTGGTGATTCCACATTCAGACAAGATACAACTGAGTGCAATGCCTTAAAGTGTGGAAATGTTACATATCTAAAAACATCAGTATTGATGATAAATGTTGCATTTTATGTGCTATTATGAGCACCCCCAATGTAATATAAGGATTACTTCAGTTAATCCATACAACAGATCTGAAGAAATGAAGTTAAACCATTGGTTCTCAACTAGGAGCAAGTTTGTCCCTCAGGGGACATTTGGCAATGTCTCAAGACATTTTTATTGTCACAACTGGATGTTACTGGCCAGAGTAGAGGCCAGGGATATTGCTAATCATCTTGTAATATACAAGATACAAGATAGCCCCCTACCACAAAGAATTATCTGGCCCCCAAAATGTCAATAATGCTGAGATTTAACCTAGAAACCCTGAGTTTACACTGAAGCAGAGAGATTTTTAAAAATCACTGGTCCCAGGAGAAACCACAGTGGAAATCAAGTTCTGCATGGCCTTTAGTTTCAGTCTTCTTATGGTCAACAAGCACTAGAATCACAGAAAGGTTTTAGAAATATAGGAAAGAAAGTAATTTTTTTAAAGACTTACCTAGGAGTTAGCATCACAGCTGGATTCCTGTTTTCAAAGATGTGTTGAATACACAACTTAAGTTTCTTTAGAGAATGGCAGTGCTGCAGACAATATAACGAAACCATCAAATCTGTGTGTGCATGAATATGAACGGTAGCCTCTGAGAAAAAGCCCATTGTCTCTTTCACAATTTCTTCCTCCTGATTCTCAAAGAGAGAGTAAAACAAAGGTGTGTGGTGTTCTAGTAGAATCGGATTGTTCCCCAAATGTCTCATCAGCATTAGCAAGTTCCGCCGGAAAGATGCTGCCTTTGGTAGTTGACAGCCAAGGGACGTCTCGAGAATTTTTCTCTTCTTCTCATTAAGAAGACCAAAAATGGAAGTAATTATGGGACCAAAATCATTGTATAATTCCCTTTTCTCTTTATATGGTTTCTTGGCTGAGGGGATTGAGCAATTGGGTAATACTATCAGACACGCGACGGCTGCGCAAAACTCCTGGATGTTCAAGTGTAGGAACTTATAATGGCTTTTAGGGTGACTGCTGTGCAAAAGAATATTCATGCCCTGCAACACAAAGATGTCAACCCTGGAAAACCCCACGCTTCTGAGGTCGCTAGTGCTAAAACTTAGGGTGTTGTGAAACAGTCCTTCTAAAGCCAGCAAACATAGACGGTTTAGGAGAACTAGGTGATGCTGATTGGCGGTAACTTGAGCCTCAGATGTCAAGGCACTGGCAAGAAAATGGGCATATATGTCTGTGGGTGTTTGGCAGGAGAGTCTGATATCTTCCCCCTTGTCCATCTGCTGCTTCAGGACGGTACACACGATCCAGCACAGGACAGGGACTTGGCATAGATCCACAAGAATTTCATTGTCAAGGACATGTGTGAAGGCTGTCACAGCCTTCTGTCTGTCTTTAAAGAACAAGTAAAAATAATCCTGCTTGTTTTCATCAGAGAGCTCCAGGGACACGCAGCAATCTTTCCTACCCATTAATGTTTTTATGGAAGGGTCACAATTGGGCCTTGATGCGATGAGGACCCAGGAACCTGAGGCCATCTTTCTCCTCAGCAAACTGAGGAAGAGAATGGATATTGGCACAGGCTGTCTGCTGTCACTACACAAAAGAGATTCATCTATGCTGAAGTTAAAATCCATGTTATCCAAGTCCTCAAAGATAAAAAGGAGCCTCTGGGGATTGGACAGGATGTCTGCAACTGGAGCCTGCCTATTGGGCCAGTCCTTAGAGATCAGCTGAATCAAACTACAGTTGATCGTCTGGTTTGCTTCATGAGAAGAGAGGTGAACGATGTATGAGATTGTTTCCTTCCACATCTCACCGAATGTCCACTCTTCCACTGCTGTTTTTATGATCATAGATTTCCCAGCTGCTCTATCTCCCACCAGGAACACATTAAGATTCTCTGTCGAAGAGGTCCTAGAATCATATGATAATTCAAGTGTGTAGAAAATATCTCCCATAACTTGGTAGTAGAATTTGTAATGGATTCCTGAAAAAGGGCACATTTCCGACAGGAGTTGGAATTTTGTCCTCATGAGAGATTTGTGTGTTTCTTCGTTACCTGAGAGAGTGAGTACAGGGCAGAAGAAATGCAGGACATGGAAAAATATTGAGATGTAAAAACAGTTTCACTCTGTTTTCATATTTACAGTAAAAGTACAGTAAAAATAAAGGATTTTTACTTACTACCCATTCACCACAAAGATATAGGTGTAAGGATATTTATCATGCTGCTTTAAAAGAAGAAGGTTGAGTAAACCTATTCATCCATACAATAGAATCTGCCGATCTCTTACCATTACATGCTCATTTTCCCCTCTTATTTACCTCGGCATCAAGGATTTATTTCCTTCTCCTTTTGTGGTTCCACAGTATTTTTTTTTTTT